CACACACACACACACACACACACACACACACACACACACACACACACAACCCTCTCAACTCATCGTGCTCTCAGAGAAGCGCATCAGCGAGCCTGAAAGCATCGCAGCTCTGTCTGCGGCCGCCCAAAATAAACAGCGGGCGGCTTGCTGGAGTTCCTTGTTGCTAGGGGTTTCCCTGAGGGCGGGAGCCAGAGCCTCAGTTGGTGGGGTGAGTCGGGGGTTTTCTGATGACGGCACGGCTATAAATACACCCCATCAATGCGCTGCCCTGCTTTTGTCCTGAGTTTGGTTCGGGCAGATGAGCTGGACGTTATCAGAGCAGTCCCAGTAATCAGTCTAATGCACACAGGGCTCCAGCTCCAGCAGCAGATACTCTCAGCTGCGCAGCCTCGTCTTACTGGTGGCCTAAATGAGATAAGACTCAGGGAGTGTGAGTGAGAAGGTGTGTGTGTTTGAGCCTCTTTATTTAGTCCCAGATTTTTTTTTAAATCTAGGACGTGTTCAGCTCGACTTATAGTGGCCTTCAGTTTGATTTTTTGCCACAAAGCACAAATAATTTCAACCTAATTTGAGAATGGTGCATTCATAGGTCTTAAGTGAATATAAACTAAGCATTTTGACACTAAAATTGAAGGTTTATGCCAGCCATGTTTGGCCACAGGAAGCTGTTTCTTAAGAAGGTATTTGGACAGCGGACTGTCCCTTTAAGGGCCAGTTTTACAGGTAAAGCCGCCCCTGCAGATCTACGCTGGAGAAGTGAGCCCAGTAAACCTACCCGACGTGGCTCAGTGCTGATATTCAGCCATCGTGACGTGATTGAACATATGCAAAGTTTCATGCCCTCACAGTATCCCATACATTAACTCTGTAAAGATATTTTTTAAAACCCTTAAACAAGAGAGTAGCTTTGTTTTAAGAAAGAAAGCTGATGTTGGATATTCTAAAATCTTGTTTCTAACTTTATTTCTTTTGCTGCAATATTAAAGGTATTGCACTCTTAACAATAGTCAATGAGTGGCGGATAGATAAGAGCGACTCAAATTACAGGCTTATTGCATGTAAAGATCGGACATTTCCTGATTTTTGTTTTTTTATCTAAATGTGGCCGCCTCTCAGAGGGAACGTGAAGGCTGTGTTAAATAAAGGCCTTTTTCAAACCTTCCAGTCCCACATTACATAAGCCAACTCGAGATTTGTTTTTCACAGATGTATACTGAGGTGACTAGTCTCACTTTACATCTATCAGTGATTACATGTTTTTGTCCTTATCTTGTATCGGAAGCAGGTTTCTGTCTTCCTGTATTGATACTACACCCACATTTACGCTCTCCAACCCCATTATGCTAATTGGCACAGTGTCATGTGTCAAACTAGTGTAATTACTGAGCTGTGCTGTAACCTTCTCGTGTTTACCCACCCTCATGCCTTATCTTGTCTGCTCTCAGAGCTATATACAGCAGGCTTTAGGCTGTAGGTTTCAGCCAGCTGAATTTTAGCTCCCTCCCTCCCTCCCTCGTCTCGGTTCAGGTTGGCCGTGTTAATGGAGTCACATGTCTCCATTAATGTGCAGGGTGAACTGTTTCAGAGCTAATCGTGCTTAGGAGGACACATTCATTAATGGCATTAAGGGAACATTGAGTTTTTTAATTTTGTATAATTGCACTGAAATGGAGGTGGCCGTTTGTCCCTTTGAGCTGTCTGCTGCTGCAGCGGTCAGCAGTGGGAAAGGCCGCCGTCTGCCCCAGTAAGGTGATACTTTGACTGAACTTTCAAGTTTTTATCATGGCATACAAGAATTTAATCTCTCAAACTCATGCAGCAACACACAGCGCAGGGCGCACGGTGCAGGAGGCCATACAAGAAAAGCCAGCACCTGTCTCCTGGGTGCACATCTACATATGTATGTTTTCATGTGTTCACCTCATGAACAGTTGTTAAAATGTCCCGCTTTCTGTGTGTGTGTGTGTGTGTGTGTGTGTGTGTGTGTGTCTTTGTGTGTGTGGTAATTTTAGGGGCTAATAGGTTCCAGTTGCCTAGTAACACTGTTGAGGGTGCATACAGCGTTTCTGAAAGTGTGTGTGTGTGCGCGCTATGTGGTGGAGTATATGAGATTATCATAATCATCTCACAGTTACATCGGGTGTCCCTCAGAGCTGCTCATTAGCATAGCAGTGTGAGGAGCTCCTGTGACTGCAGACCTCTCAGAAAAACGGTCAGAGCCTCCATTAGCTGTTAGATTATTATTGCTCTGTATCAAATACATGCAATGAGAGGCATTGTTTTATTTCCACAATGTGAATACTTGTCTTTCTGTGATGTAAAAGACACTGAAGAGTGTGATTGTAGATCTAGAAATGGTCAAACTAGCTTTATATTTTCTAAACTATGCCATTTCTACACAGAACTGGACATGTGATACATGAAAGGGCGTTCTTGGTACCTAAAATCTTGCATTTGAGTATGAGTTTGCAACATCGCCCACATGTTCGCAGTTGTATTTGTTGCCAAAGGCTCGAACATTCAAGCTGTGGCCCTCACTCTGAGGTTAGTACACAGCCATCTTCTCCTCCTCAGCTCTGAGCCGGAGGTTATGGAGGATCAACAACAGTCATATGTCTGGAAAGTAGTGCACAAACAGGCAGGAAGCGGACAGCAACGGATGCATCGTGTTGTCTCGGTTACTTCAGTTTCCTCTGTGGTCATTAAAGCATCAATGCTAAAGGGAAAAGATGGAAGGTCTCATTCCTAAATTTAGTGTCACTGTTTGTTTACAAGTGAACCCTAAACAAAATAAGTGAACTCGGGCTCACTCCTAACTTATTTGTTGCACAGTTGTTGACGCATATCATAGCACCACGCCAGGAGGGCCGCGGGTAATAATGGAATAATTGAGGCTTAATTAACTACACAGTGGTAAGAGTTTGCAAAAGGGGAAGAGATACAAAAGTTGCCTCAGAGAACATGAATTTATGCACTGTTAAAGGTGCAACTATGATGCAATTCTGCTGTTTTTACCATTTGACCCTAACAGACTTCAGAAAGAGCCAAACGTTGTATAAGTCTGTTTAACTAAGAGGAGTAACCGGACCCACCCGGCCAATCCTGAGCCTTATGTGGGTCAGCTGGACGCCATGTCTCTGTGATGCTGGCAGACGTGGGGCCGAGAGCGGGACTCAGACTGTGAAAAGGCTGTCATGAACCAGCATGAATTATACATGCACCTACTCTCCTGACAGCAAAAAGGGATCTGGGCGCCATGTTCAGATGTGCCAACGTTTGTGATGTGTTGCTAATTTAACGGCTCTTTTTCATCTGCTCTGTTTCAGCCTGTCGCAGAAAAAGATCTGCTGTGAGCACATTTCTGCACTCATTTGATGAGTAATCTGATGGGTATTTCTCTGGTGAAGCGCTTTACTATTTCTGCCTGTAATGTGGCACAAATAAAACAAATACACGAGAACTACTCACCTGTCAAATATACAAAAGCTTAGCATGCAAACAAAATAAATCAAAATAATAATAACAATAATATGCACAATAGTAATATGGGGGCCTGCAACTGGCAGTGCCCCCCCCCCAATGATATATCTTTCTTCAGAACTTATGTGGTTATTGTTTTTCTGATTTGTGGTGAAAGCTTGAAGTGTTCTGGACTTAAATACATGATTAATTCCCCCCCTTCTTTTTAGGAAACCCTGAAGTTGGCAGCATCCTTTTTTTAATCCTGAAGCCCTATGCGAGCTGCGCTGTGCTGGCGGTTTCACACCCTCTTGCTGAATGTGGATTGGGTGCTGACTACAGGAAAAGGCTAAAACACGTTTACATGCGAATTGCTACTCGTTTTAAAACCCTGAAGGATTTATCTGTGGGGCCGGCGGCTCGTGTGCGGGCTGGACTGTTCTGAACCCGACGGTGTGGTCTGCTGGGCAACAGGAAGCAGGAGGCTGCTGATAGGAAGATGTTCTGTGTCGGAGGACGGCCTTTCGGGCCCAGCCGGCAGCCTGTGGTGCACAGCAGATTTTCTATGATGTAGAACAGGTCGGATACATACAAGTACACCAATCTGGGAACGTCGCTTTAGCAATAAGTTTGGAGATTAGACAAAAAATGACGTGTCCCCCTTTGTCCTTTTCGACCAGCCCAAATGGAAGCCCCGCGGGCAGAGAGCCGGGACAGTCCTTATTTTGGTCTTCCTGCGGATTGACCTGTTATATTTATTTATTTGTCTCTGTGTAACGCGGCGCGTGACTCTGCTGCAGGCCAGCTTCTTTAATAGTTGCCACTGTATCAGGTCTCGCTTTAGAGGCCAGCCGCTGTTGTCAGGGCGGGTCCCGCGTATTTTTACTGGCCAGTTGAACAGGCGCTATCGCTCTATTTTCCACCTCCAACCTGGAGTTACAACATTGATTTTTATTGTCTGTTTTGCGCACCTCAGTGACGCGGCCGCACCTTAGAGCCAGTAAATTCCATTTGTTAGCAAGCCGGTGGCTGCCTGCTTTGCTGTTAGACATGGAGAGAACAGACGGGATGTCATGCTGCTGCTGGACGTTTCCTGACTTTACTGACCACAAATGAGCAGGAATGCTTCTATACATGCATTTCTACCTTACATAGTGATAATATACATGCTACGCAGAGAGAACTGGTTCTGGTCGAATGATCAGCACCCCTGAACTATTGTTGTCAGACATAAGGGCAAGAGATTCTTTTGGTGGGATATTCAGAGGTTCAAGCACAACAAAAAGCCTGTTCACTTCAAAATATACAACGTATACTATATACTTTCCTTTTGGATAAACAAGGGGATTCATTTCATTAGATTTTGTCAGTACAAAAAAAAGTTTTTGCTTGCATTTTAGCTTTCTCCTGAGCTAAGAATCATGAATGCTTTGATCAGAGGAACATCATGCCAAAGCCTCAAGGACAAGAGGATATGAGATCAATCATTTGTGATCATACGAGGACGTTGTTAACCGATGAAGACTTTCAGATCTGGAGATTGGTTGGAGAACAGAGGCCATGCAAGTTAACTGAGAGCCTGCCGCCGTGCAGAGTGGTGGTTTTAGTTTCTACAAGCTGTGATTTAACGTTCCACCGACGGCCAAATAGCAAACTCTTTATGAAGAGCAGCAAAGTGAAGCTCGGGTTCAGCTTTAAGCTTTACAGAGGCGCACCGAGTCCGTCCCCGTGGTGCTGCTCAAACTTTCTCCTTCTCAGCCTTTCTTTCTCACCCTCTCGTTCCTCCGCTCCTCCTCCACCACACTCGCACTCAGATTAGTCATCGAACTGATGGAGCCCAGCGCGTTTGAGTGTTAAAACCCAGAACACCACCCACATCCGTCTCTCTCCCTGTCTGCCTTTGCATCACGTAACAAGACGAGAAACGATTGGATAACAGGCTGCTGCTGTGGCTCGCTGGGTCTGCAGTTCACAGGCTCTGGGTGGGTTCCAGGTGTTCGCTGTAAAGGTAAAAAAAATCCCAGCATCACTGTGTCCCAGCACGACCTGCTGAGACGCCCCCCACAGAGACTCCTGTTCCTTTGGTGGAAGCTCATGTTAACAGTTGGGTTATCCGACTCGACTCGCGGCTTCGCTGCCGTTTGAACCCGTTTTTCAGCCCCGTCGGTACCCGTCAAATAGCCGAACCCCCCCCGATCCACTGACCCGATCAGCCTGGTAAATTTAGCAGCCCGCTGTGAAAGCATGCAGATTAATGGCTCCTGTCATTTAGGACCCCAGATTAAGGCAGGTAAAGTGACAAGTTTGTGGTTGGCCAGTGGGCTCACGTGACCACGTGTGAAAGAGCTTATATAGTAATTAACAACTGGCTTTGTTATTGCTTCTGGATTACTCCCGACCGTTGCTCAGTGCAGTAGCCAGAGAGCTGAGGCAGTTTGTGATGGCAGGAGAACACAGGAGCCGCCCGCCCTCAGACAGGGACGCACCCTCACGGAGCAAAGCCTGTAAGTTTGCTGCGGACACTTCTACAGACGCGCCCCCCCACCCCCCCCCCCCCCACCCCCTTCACCCTGTCATCCTCCGCTCGTCCTCCACCCTCTCTGTCCCGCGTCTCTGGTTCGTTTCTTCCCCTTTTTTCATTTATTTTTTGCCGATGTGACAGAGGTCTGTCGGGGGCTGGTTTCCTGCTCCGTCAGCGGCGTGTAAAGCTCAGCCCTTTCTGGCTGTTGCTGCTGTTTGGGCGCCTGCTGGAAAAGAGCAGAACGGGCTGTTCCGGGGCTGCTGCGGGTCTGCGGCTCGGAGCTGTGGGCTCTCGGGCCTGTGTGGGCCGGAAGTGCCACCCTTCAACCGGTTGCAAGCGGCGACTCCAGAAATGTCTGAGTAGTCGATGCAGGTGTTTGAAACGATATTGGTGTTGGCGTACACATCCTCTGGCCCGGTAATCCGCCCGTGCGGGGCAGATTCCTGCCCTGGCGCGGAGCGGCTGGCTCTGCGCCGGCCCGATCCCTGCAGGAAGAGTGGGAACAGCGGGCAAATGTCCAGGAGGAAAAGCCTAATGCAGCCCGTGTGCCTGTGCTTCCTTTTCTCTGTGTCCAGTCGATGCTGATGAGATTAAGAGGCTAGGGAAGAGGTTTAAGAAACTCGACCTAGATAACTCTGGCTCGCTCAGCGTGGAGGAGTTCATGTCCCTGCCGGAGCTGCAGCAGAACCCGCTGGTGCAGAGGGTCATCGACATATTCGACACGGACGGGAACGGAGAGGTGGACTTCAAAGGTAAGCCAGCCCCAGCACGTCGGCAGCGCTACCGAAACCCGCCGCCGCCACTGCCCTCAGTCGCACTGGGCCAATAGGAAGCCTCCCATTTTGTCTGACTCCTTTAGTAGTTTCTAAAATGTTTTTTTTTTTTTTTTGTCTTTTCTGCTAACAGATCTGTGCATTAGTTGTTGGTTGACAGCTGCCTGTTTGGCCTGAACAGGTTTATTCATAAACAGATTTAAAGTCTCATTACCTGGTTAGGTAAAGGATGAATGAATAATGCGAACAAGATGCGGGTCTGAATACCAAACGGCTGGGATTCAGACCTGCTGTGGGAGGTTATGAGCGCACCAGCGTTCATCCTCCGCGCCGCTTAAAGTCGGAGTTGGTGGATTTGGGTTTTTTCTTCTTTTTTTTCGCCCCCCAAAAAAACATTCAGTCGTGTGTTGTGCAAAGTCCTACCAATGGACCTACGTGTGTTCTCTTCCTCTCCTCTCAGAGTTTATCGAGGGAGTGTCGCAGTTCAGCGTGAAGGGGGACAAAGAGCAGAAGCTGCGATGTGAGTAAAGCTGCCCGTTCGATAAAAGCCCGTCTGGCCTGAGGGAGGGACACCAGGGAGGGGGAGGTGTTTCTGCTCCAGATGTGGCTCCTGAATGATTCATTCAGCACATCTGTGCCGGAGCACCGAGGCCGACCTGTAACGTCCCCCCCCCCCTCTCTGCCACAGTCGCCTTCAGGATCTACGACATGGACAAAGACGGCTACATCTCCAACGGCGAGCTCTTCCAGGTGCTGAAGATGATGGTGGGCAACAACCTGAAGGACACGCAGCTGCAGCAGATCGTGGACAAGACCATCATAAACGCAGACAAGGACGGAGACGGCAGGATATCCTTCGAAGAGTTCTGCGCAGTAAGTGGAGGCCCCTTCCCGGGGGTCCTCTGGGGGGGGGGGGTGACATTTCTGCTGATGCAGCTAGATGAGAAGGCAAAGGTCAGAGAGGAGAGAAAACTCAGGAAAGTGGTGGAGCTGGGCTCTGCGTGGGCGGATGAGCACCAAACGGCACCGGCTGCTGCTGCGGGGAGACTCATCTGCCCCGGACCCCGGAGACGTTTAGCCACATGCTACATGCTCCTCAAACCTCTTTTCTTTGACAAAGAAACTCAGACGGTTCAGATCGCTGCAGTTTTAGGGTGGCCGGTGCTAAAAGCGCCCTCTCCGCCTCCACTCTCCTGGAAGCGGTGACGGGTGAGCGAGCAGGACGGGCCTCGTTAATCCTACACTTTAGACCAAATTAAAAATGAAGTAAAAAGCGATTTACAGCTTATCTGGGAAGTAATGAGATGAGGTGATGAGCTGTGAGTGAACGCGGGCTGGTGGGTGCAGGTGTGGCGAGAGGGACCCGATCACCCGATCTCCGGTTCGGCCCGCGCATCCCTGCTACTTAAGTGATGAGGAAATCACTCGCTTTTATTGCACCCCGCGACAAAAACAGCGCAGTGGTTGTTGGAACTCGTCTGACAGCTGTCTCTCCCCGTCTCCCACAGGTGGTCGGCGGTCTCGATATACACAAAAAGATGGTGGTGGACGTGTGAGCGGCCGCTGCTCGCCGAATCCCCCTCCGTGCCCTCAACACTCGCTTTCTCCACCATCTCTGAAGATCTGCTCAAGACGTCCGGCAAAACGCTCTCTGTGTAACTCAATGGAAGTATTCTCTCTTTATCTCTTATTTCTCTGTGACGCCACTTTTTTTCTTTCTGAAAGCACGAGAAGCCAACTTTGAAGTGTTATTGAACTGTAAACCCTCAATAACCCGGTCGTAGCACTTTAAGAGACTGAAGGACATCCATTAGTCATTAGCAGAGCATCTCCGGTTTTGGGTGAGAGGAGAGGGGGGGGGGTGGGGGGGGGGGGGCGTTGTGAGGCTGGTTGGCTTGTTCATATTTCATCCCCCCTCCCCCTTTTTTTTTCTTTTTGTTTGTTGTAATTTTTTTTATTTTTTTTTCTTCTTTTTTTTTTTTTTTTTTTTTTTTTTTTGTAAGAAGAATGCTAGTTTTATTTATACTTACAAATGTGTTTATATTGTTGGAGATTATCCTCGTTTCCTGTCATGAAATTATAGGTAGATAAATGAATGCCAAGAAAATGTCTTTCCAGATAAAAAATAAAAAAAAACTTTTTTTTTTTTTTTAAGAAAAAAAGGACAAAAAAATTGTGGCTGAATCATAGTTTACTCTCGAGGGCGCCTTTTTCCACCGGCGAGCTCCGCGCTCGGGACCGGGCCGCCGGGGCATCGCCAGCGTCTCGAGGCTTTGGTGTAACGTCAGGAACCCGCTGGGCTAACATCAGAGGGAGGGGAGACCCGCGAGGTGAAGCGCTGTTTGTGCACAGATAAAGCAATCCCAGACTTTCTCTGCAGGCAGCCTTTTTTACCTGTGTATCATACGGTGTGTGTGTGTGTGTGTTAGTCCATCGCTCGTGTCGTCTCCCGGCCGGAGGAGGAGGCCCCCCCCCCCCCCCCGTCCCGCTGCAGGACGGCCCCTCCTCTTCAACACAAACACTTCAGAATCTTAACACGTCAGCATGAACCGTGTGCAGTGGGGTAGGCTGTATGGT